TACATGGTGGTTAACTCATAATATAAAATACCACACTAGCCTAGAAGATTTGGCTATTAAGATGTTTTCAATTGTGCCATCTCAAATGGCATGTAAATGAAATTTCTCCATTCTAAAATAGTTTTATAGAGATCAAAGAAATAAACTCTCAATAAAACATATTGAATCTATAGCCAAATTGCGAATGTATTGGCTATTAGAAATTCAAACAGAGCTTAAATATTATGGAGAAACTTTGACAGATGAAGAATTGCGAGCATGTGCCAATATGGCAACAATTCCGGTTGAATTAACTTCAGAAGCTGATATATTTAATATAAATGACACATTTGATAATGACGAATCATATATTATAAATCAAAATGCTTCTTTTTTAGATATAGATTTAGCAAATTCAGATGAATTTGTAGATTTGAAAACAAAATTAGATGTCAAAGATATTATAGATCTTACTTTATCACTTTTTAATTTTAATGACACAGAATCAGGTTGTGAAAACTTTAGACCACAACCTAAACCAGTGTCAAGTATAGGGCATAGAAATATGGACTTTGAAGCATCCAATATAGTTGACAAAGTCTTAGGAATTGAGAATATTAATATTTAAACTATAATCTAAACTAATATCAAGCGAATATGGGCTTTGAAGCATTTGACGAAAGTCTTAAAAATGAATAATAATAATAATTAGCTTTAAAAAAGCTATACAATAAATATTAAGCGCAAAATATTAATTAAAAAAAATGATGTATAATAAATTTATTAATGTTTCTTAAGTTATAGTTTTATTGTATTAAAAAAGTTATATAATAAATATTAAGCGCAAATATTAATTAAAATGAAAAAATAACACTCAATAAAGTTTTAAAGTTTCGTAGATTACAGTTTTATTGCATGTGTATTCGACAATATAAAGAAAATAACCTATCACTATAATTATAACACAGTTTTAACTTTTTATTTTAACGTTTTTAGCCTACGATAAAAGTTAAAATTAGTTTTACCACGTGATAAAACTAAAACATAGTGCCATTAAAAGGTTTTCTTAGCATTACTAGTACGTACTAGGCAGAGTACAAAACCCATTGTGAAATATCAGTGATTTCCATCTATATAGGACAATTTCCGACTCGATTCTTCATCAGGCAGAAAATTTTTGTCATTTGGGGAATGACCAGGAAAACCGGTTTTCGCCGGATAGTTTGGGTTTTTAAAAAATAAGAATAATGTTTGTGTTAAGCAAATTTAAAATTTAAAATTTTTGATTTCATACTTGAATTTAATATAGCAAGTTAAATTGATAATCCTCTGATTGGTTATTATTCTATTTTAGAGCATTGTATTTTCAACTAATTTATTCAAATTAAAATATCACAGTATTTATTATGTTAACATCATAATATATAAATAGGAGCTAAGATTTTAGCTAGAGTCAAAAATATCGAAATCGACCAAAAAGTGCCGAAAGCTAGTTTTTCTAGTCCATTTCCCATTTGTGATAACCACATCTGATTGTGGTTTCTAAGTTCTGGTTAGGAAAAACACTGTCAGAAAAAATCATATTACGTATACCCAGAAATTTTATGTATTGGTACCAGGACCCAATCTATATATAGATAGGTTACATGATAGAAATATGTAGCGAACGTATAGAAGAAAATTGAAAATTTACTATGAAAAAGAAAATATTGCTACTTCCTGCTACTTGTTACCTTCGGAGTCTCTTGTGTGCCAGGTTAGTGGCGGAGTAATTTGCCACAGTAATCACAATTCATATTTGATGTTCACTTATTGATTCAGCAGGACCCCGAGCTATTAGGAAATCAAAAAGAAGGAAATTTTTGTAGAAAATCACTAAAAACATTACATTTTTAAATAGTAAATTTTGCAAATTTGGATCAAAATAATAAATAAAACTATATAGTATTTGTCCAATCTATATATAGCTCAGAGTCGTGTAGCTTAGTAAATGATACAAAATTACGTATAGATCAAATATGGTTACCTTGTGTTTAAATTTGTAATTTGGTATAACAAAAAACAAGCAAATTCCTGAATTCATGCATTTGTGCAATAATCTCTGGATACATAGTGCTACACACTTTCCTAGTGTTACCGGCAAAATCGACGATCTCGTGATATCACGGGAAATGAGAAACATGACTATAAGAAGACGTGAAGTGATATAAAAAAAAAAAATAATAATAATAATAATAATAATAAAGAGAAGTTGAAGCCCGCTTATCTGTCCTTCGAAAAAACTGAAATCTTGGATAAGCCTTGGGGCAAGGTAGAGCCAAGCCCATAAGGAAGCCTCCATCTACTATAGATGAAACTGACAAAAACATCGTACCGAAATCTTTAAGACAATAGGGCCGTGTCAAAGATAAGTTCTGTATCAAGATGGTCCCAAGACCACGGTATATTGGAGATCCCGGTTGAGGCGTAAGAAGAGAACCAGGGAATAAACACCTGGACAAAACAATAACCAAGCATCACCTAAAAAGGATAAATGAGGCGGTAACTTTGCTAGGTAAAGTAAACAAAAATAGAAATAAATTAGGTAAATCGTGTGGCCATGGGCCTTAAATGTTTACCTTCGCGTAAGTAAGGGCCAGATACTCTAAAAATCGTCTAATAATTAGTAATAATGGTGTGATAAGGAGTTAGAGTTCTTTTTTTCTTTTTCTTTCGTCTTTTGTCTGAAATTTAAGTATAAATAGCTCTGTAGTTCGCCTTAGTTGTAAGAACAGAACAGTACAAGTTTAATAAAAAATAATTTGAACTTTGTTCTATAAATGTTGATATCTTTTTGTTGTCCTTAAGTCATTCGTTTTTAAAACTTCATATACATAAAAATCCATCCAAAAGCCTTACCTTGCCAAATCTCTTTCGCCTCTTCTATTTGGTTTGGTTTTGTGTGTGTGTGATAGTTTTGTGAGTTGTAGTCTTCATGTCAGTTGTCACTATAGCTCGTAACAATTGTGGTGGTGACTGTGAGATCGTAAAAAATATCTCACCTTCCCCTTTAAAATAATAATTTGCTTTCGTAGTAGTTTTACTGGATATAAATTTTCTCTATTATTATTATTATTTTTTTTTTTCCTTTTACATGTTGGGATTTGTAGACGTTGTGCCAGGAATTTTTTTTTAACCTAGTAGTTTTTTTTTCCCTTCTTATAAGAAACTATAGTGAAAGTGATAGTAACTTTGAAAATTTAAATGATGATAATGGAGCAACAAAGAGTAGAAAAAAACGCTGTTCTCAATAACAACAAAGTTAGGATCATTAAAGATGCCCCCGTGAGGCAGAACACCCAGGTCAGAATTCTTCCAGGAGCGATAGAAGTTGTACCCCTGTTGATGATCTACTAGCCCCTGAGCCATTGCATGCAATATTGTGAGAAATCGTAAATACTTTTTGTGACGCCTCAGCTGGGGTTGTTGATGCCGCCCGTCCACCACTACAGGAAACTAATTTGGTGCGGGTTGATCCTTTTCAAGGAGACGAAGATGAGGATTCTCTAGAGTGGATAGAGGCATTTGAGCGAGCAGCTGATGCCAACAATTGGTCCCCTCAACGCAAAGTAAAAATAGCCTCAGACTATTTACGTGGTGTAGCAGCAAGTTGGTATGATGGAGTTAAGAGAAACCTTCGGCATTGGGATAACCAAAACGATAGGGATGGAAGTTTTGTCCCTCATTTCTACATTACTTTGCCACCCCTGAATGCCGTCATTAATGGCAAGCGGACCTAAATGCTTTAACCCAACGAGACGTTGAGTGAGTGGATGCCTACGTCTATAACTTTAAGAGACTGTTGTAGCAGGTAGATCCCGAAAACTGCCTTTCTCAACCGTATGTAGTGCATATGTTCTTAGGAGGTTTAAAGCCAAAGATAGCCTCTTGGTTAAGTGTGGCCGATCCTCGAAACCTTGAAGAAGCGGTAGTCGGAGCCCGCAAAATCGAAGCCGGTGGATACTATAGTGAAAGAAGTATTGCACGAAACCAGAATGACTAGTATAATAAAGATTTGAACCATTTAACCCAACAAATACAAGCAATATCAACCAATTATGAAAGATTGTTGTTGACCCTGGCAGCAAGAATAGAGGTAAATGAAACAAGGCCCCATTACAATAATAATTGTGGCAGGCAAAATAATAATGTTCCCCAGATAGTTTGTTATAACTGTGGTGAACCTGGATATATAGCCTGTAATTGTATATTGGAATGAGCCTCCGTACAAAATATTCCCCCAAGGAACCCGCCCCAAAATTTACCACTGATCCCAGGTTCAAATCAGAGGATTAACGGTCAAAATAACCCGCCTGTGCAAATATTACAGCAACCTTGAACTGTGAATTTGTGTGATTTTAATGATACTGGATATCAACTGGAAAGTGAAGATGCGTTTGTGTTGCCAGTTTTCTGTCACCAACCGTATGTGACACAGAGGCTCCACCGGAACCAGAAAAAATCAGAAAGTCAAGTGGAAGAAAGGTTGCAGAACAACCCACCGGTGGCTAATACACCTGTAGTACCCCAATTAATACTCCGGTACTAGTTGGTCTTCCCCAAGCCCCAAAAAATCCTCTACCACGGCCCCAGCGAAAAAGAGGTCCATCAACGGTTGATCAATTTGAACCATATAACGTGGCTCAAGATATTTTGGAAATGCAAGCAAATGTCACTGTTGGACAGATGCTGCAATATCCAAATCAGAAGCGTTATTTGGCTCAGGCATTAAGAAGACCTATAATAATTGAACCAGCAATACCACTAAAAATAGAAACAAATATAGTGCAACCTCCAACTAACGAGCGAACCACAGCCGCTTGTTGCTATATACGTATCAAGAATAATTCAATTATAGCCGTATTGGATTCTGGTGCTGCCGTGAGTTTGATGTCGAAAAGAATGATAGAAAAGCTGAGTTTGAAGATCGACGAGCCCTCTACCACCGTTGTGGTAACTGCTAATGGAACTAGGGAATGAGCCCTGGGGAAAATTAATGACTTCAAAGTCGCAATTCGGGATATGATGATTTTCACTACCTTTCAAATAATTGCTTCCACCGACGATTTGTTGTTGCTGGGCATGGATTGGTTTGTTAAAGCACATGCCCAGTTGCATTTTGCTGAGAAAAGATTGTACCTTACATACAATGGTAAGACTAGTGAAATCCCGATTTCCACCGATAGAGGACCCCCAATCGAACCGGTCACTGCAGTATTTGAAAGTGAGGACCCTTTGACGAATTTGAATACGATGATGAAGCCTTAGATGAAGCTGAAGGGTATTTTACTGAAGGGACCACTGATGATGAACTCTTTGGGAACCCGTGGAGCGATTATTGTAGCCCTGCGGTATGTTTGGCAAACATTGAAGAATTGCCAACCAAAGACCCTAAAGTTGAAAAGGAACCTCCTATTGAAGATAAATTGGAGGAAAGTATAAGAAGTGCTCCTCTAAGTGAAAATGAAAAAAATCGAGTCTGTGAAATGCTGCTTGGAAAAAAAGAGATTTTTGCCAAAAGTATAAGTGATTTGGGGCAAACCGATATTATAATGCATGAAATAGATACTGGCACTGCCTCCCTGATAAAACAACCTCTGTACCGTGCTGCTCCTAGTGTGCGGGCTTTTGTAAAACAGGAAGTGGCCCAACAAAAGAAAAGGGCTGGTCTGAGAATCGAAAAGTCCATGGGCTTCCCCAGTCATGGTCGTGCCAAAAAAAAGTGGCAAATTGCGCATGTGCGTTGATTACAGGCAGGTAAACGCGGTAACAAAAAAAGATACATTCCTCCTCTCTCAGATAGACGATCTTCTTGAAGTCTTCGGTCGTGCCACCTGGTTTACCTCATTAGATTTGTTGTCAGGGTATTGGCAAGTAAAATTAAGCAAAAAGGACCAGGAAAAAACTGTATTCACGGTTCCTTTCGGCACCTATAAATTCGTTGCCATGCCTTTTGGTCTCTGTAACGCTCTGGCCACCTTTTAGCGCATGATGAATTATGTCTTGGCAGACTTTATTAAACAATTCGTCGTAGTATATCTCAACGACATCGTTATATACTCCACTTTTTTGATGAACATCTAAACCACATTGCTGCTGTTTTTGAAAAGTTGAAGGCTGTGGGCCTAAAAGTGAACTTCGATAAGTGTGTCTTCCTTCAGCCCTATCTCCAGTTTTTGGGCCAGGTTGTTGGGCGAGATAGAATTCGTTCTGACAACAGAAAAGTGGAAAAGGTTCGAAATTTCCCCGCCCCTACGAATTTACAACAACTTTGTGGGTTTATCGGTTTGGCTTTGTACTACCAAAAGTTTATTGCCAACTTCGCTTCAATTGCCTGTCCCTTGCACCACCTATTAAAAAAGGATGTGAAATATAAGTGGAAACAAGAGCAAGAGGATGCTTTCAAACAATTAAAAAGTCATTTTACGGAAGCATCTATACTTCGCTATCCTGATTTCGATAAAACTTTTATCATTCATACTGATGCCTCAGGAATTGGATTGGGTGCCATGTTGGCTCAGAAGGATGACCATGGGAAAGAATATGTAGTGGCTTACATGAGCCGCTCCCTGACCAAACCTGAGAAAAATTATAGCACCACGGAATTGGAGTGCCTCGCTGTTCTATGGGCGGTTGAATATTTTTGTCATTATTTCGGCCTGGACCCTTTTTTTGGTTGTTGCCGACTATGCAGCGCTGAAATGGCTACAAACTTCGGTGTTAACTGGTCGCTGAGCTCATTGGATTCTCCGGTTGCAGCCATACAATTTTAAAATTATACACCAGCATGGAAAAAAACATAGCAATGCAAATGCATTGTCTAGGTTACTGGAACCCCCCATGACCTCTGTAGTAGAATCTCCTAAAAAATCCCAACTAATAGTAATAAATTAAAAAAATATAAATAATAGTAAAAAAAAAAAAAAAAACCCAACACACCTTCCAAATCCGGTTAAAACTCAAATCCAGACCAGGTTACCAGTGTTCTGGCATTTAGTGCATTTTTTTTTGGTTTTCAACTTATTTAAAATCTAATAGAAATCGTCTAACATTATATATAAAAAAAAAAAGAGAGTTAAAAAAAAAAATAGACCCAAATCATTACTGATATTTATTTCAATATTTAGATACTAAGTACCTGCCGCCTGTCCTTGACGGAAAGCAGAAGCAAAAATTGATAAAGAAAGCAGAGTTTACGAAGCAAGGGAAGGTCTCTTGTATAAGAAGAATCGACAGAAGAAAGAAAACCTACTTCGGGTGCTGCGGAAGTACAAAATAGACCCAGTTTTGTTCTTAGTCTATACGCATCCTCTGAGTGGGCATTTCAATAAGGATGTGATGTTTGAAAAAATTCGGAACGTGTACTTTTGGCCGCAAATGTATCTGGACATTAGATGGTATGTTCAGACCTGTGATGCATGCCAACGAAGGACTCAACCCTGTACGCAAGTACCGTTAACCCCTATACCGGTTTTGGCCCCCTTATATAAAATTGGGTTGGACTTTGTTGGCCCCCTCCCTTGTACGCCTCGATTGAACCAGTATATTTTAGTCGCAACTGACTACATGACTCGTTGGCCCGAAGCACGTGCCGTAAAAAAGGCAAATGCAAAAACCGTTGCAGGGTTCCTATATGATGATATCATTTGCCGGCATGGGTGCCCAGACCGCATACAGTCTGACCAGGGCACACACTTCTGTAATGATGTAATTAAGTTCCTTCTTGAGAAAATAAAAGTAAAACAGCATTTCTCTACTACCCCCATACAAACAGTTTGGTTAAACATTTTAATAAAACATTGTGTGAAGCTCTTGGGAAGTTAGTGGAAAAAGTTGTTGATTGGGACTTATTAATTCCTTCGATACTTTTTGCCTATCTTACTGCACAAAATTCCACCACTTATATGACACTGTTTTTCCTAGTGTATGGCCATGAAGCTAAACAACCTGTCCACCCTAGTTGCTCTGAAGATATGTTAGAAGAGACCATATTACAAAGAGCATATGAACTTATATATAAAGTTCCAATAATCCAAAGCCAGGCCATAATGAAAGTAATCCAGAAGCAAAAGATTATTAAAGCCTGTCATGATCAGGAATATCGAGTAAGTTTTGGGTTCGAAATAGAGAAAAAGGTTCTCCTGAAGGATACAAGAAAAAGATATTCAAGGAGTGACAAATTTATCCTGAAGTGTATTGGTCCGTATTACATTCATACCAAGCTGCCTAACAATGCCTACAAGTTGAGGATGCTTGAAGGTAAAGTAAAATTTTAATTATGTTTTTCTTTATTTATATAAATATGAAATAACCAGGGTTGGTCAAATTACTGGTTGACCAAAAATTGGTTGGTCAAACTGGCCTGGTCAAATTGGTCAAGTGGTCTGGTCAAATTGGTCAAATGGCCTATATATACTATATATTTAAATACCCTTTGATCAATTTGACTAATACTAAACCCTTTGACCAACTGGTCAAATTGGTCAAACTGGTCTGGTCAAGCTTGACCATTGACCGGTCCATGCCAACCCTGGAAATAACATTATCATTACTTATTTAAAATCATCCAAGTTTATTTTCAATTGGTAGAGATTGAAAAATAACGTGTCGATTGAAAATTAACGAATTTTATGATTGAAAATAGGTTAGTCATGGCAAAAAAATGCCGAGATCGCAAGATCAAGCGATCGCTTCCGACACGCACATAATTTACAAGTCCGATAATTTATATATACTATATTTATAGTAGATTTTGTGTAACGTATGATTTATCATGCTATGTCAAAGCTGCCGGAAAGATCGTTGATGTTCTCAACATTTTTTATCTTCGTGAGATTAATGCAGAACTTTATTTATATATGATTGAACGCACAAAAAATGCGCGACAGATCCTCGATTTTGATTGGCTAAGAGCAACGATCAAAAAATTAGGCTGGAATTACCCATAATTTTACTAATGAAATCGCAGCCGTCTATTAAGTGAAAATTGTTTCTGGCCAATTTTACCATAATGCGGGCTTATTTTTTAAAAATTTCTATCGCTATTTTGTAATGAAAAAAGTAAAAAGTTAGTTCCGGCCGGAGACTAGTAAACAATTATGTAATGCTGGCCAAAAATTTGAAGATCCATTAGCTGTGCGTAAAATTTTTTTTGTAAAATTTGCTATTCCGAAAACAGCGATAAAAAGTTATTTAAATAATATTATTAAAAATTTTAAAAATTGTTTTCCTATACGATATTAATAAATATATAAAAAAAAATTTTTATAATATTTTTATTATACATTAATATATTTCATATATATAATATAATTAAAAAATTCTGTAAAGTATGAGATATATGAGAGTCTAAATTATTTAAAAAAGTAATTTTGCCAGACATTTTGCTGTTTCTATTTTTTTTTCGCAAATTAACTATACTACCCAATGTATTTTGATATAAGAAATTCAGATGGATTCGGTGACCGAGAATTAATTTGCCACTAAAAATTGATGTTGACAGACTAATCGGCCAAATAATAATTTACTTTTTTTTTTAAAAAAAAAAAGAGGTCCTTTCCTCAATTCTTTTATTACTTAATATATAATAATTACAAAAATTTTGCATGATTTACATATTTGTTCGGGGAAATGAGGATAAAGCTAATTTAAACTGGATCGCCCCTCTAGTTTTTGATTTGATAGTATATATATTAAGCAATTTTTATAAAGAAAATAACAGTTATTAAAAAAATATATATATACACAATAGCTAAAAATATATACTTAGTAAGGCGGTATATAGCCAGCCGCCTAAGCTCTACATAAACGTCATTCAGGTCAGTCAGAATGACGTCATGTAGAGCTTTTTCAACAGCTTCATACGCACCGGGCGAGAAGCTGTACTCCCATTTTTGGAATTTAGAGTTATATCTGATCTTGGCGAGGGCCATCACCAAGCCGATCGTCCACCTGGGAAGGGTGCTAAGCACCCCTTTTAGTTCGTCTACGGTCGGCGACCTATAAGATATAATCGTTATTGAATATTTTCATTCATCCGATAGCTTACTATGATCAGATTGCCAGGATATCTTGAGTTATTTGGCAGTGACTAAACTATCTGCCAAACACCTTTGTTGTTCAGCATATACGTAATCACCATCAAAAAACTCTACTACGTACCAATAATTGCTTATCTGTTTTAAATTCAAATATGCCATTCCTAAGTCTTTTTGGGGCCCAGAAGCTAGAATATTAAATTTTAAAGCCAGATAACGGGATTACTTTTCAAATAATTCCTCGTTATTGAGTACAAAACATTAGATAATTATATATTACAGTACCTTTGCTGCGACCTCCAATATTTGCATTGCATTATGAAGGGGATTATCCAAAATATTCTCCCTCTTATGTCAATCCCCTTGTCGCCCGGTTTTCTAAATAACGGTAAATATGAGTTAATGTGTCATCATTGTGCAACTATAGAAGAACATTCACCATAAATCCATCAAGGTTTACCATTTTCAGACATCAGTAACTGAGAGAGCATTCAATTACCGAAACAGCTGAACACGGTGAGTTTTCATCTCAAATATTTACACTGATATAGCAGCGTAACTTCAGGCATGACACAACTCTACATTTGGCAATCGAAGTACAGTATGTATTAAGTTAGTTTGCATCGGAATTATAGTGACTTCAACTCCTATCACAAGCTACAGTAAAACTTACTTGCTATTCCAGTTAAGGTTGAGTTTATATTGGAATTATTGTAATTTCTCTCATGAGTTGCTGCAAGAAATTCTGTTACAAAACTCACTCGCCATTGAGATAATTTCGTATTAGAATTATTGTAATTTCTATAAAGATTTCGCTATTCTAGTCAGCATGATATGTATTTAAGGTCAAGTTAGTTTGCATCAAAATTATCGTGAATTCTATCATGAGCTAAAGTAAAACTTACTTACTATTCCAGTGGCAATGATTTGTAGTTAAAGTCGAGTTAGTTTTATAGAAATCACCATTATGAGTTGCTGTAAAAAATTCTGTTACAAAATTTACTTGCCACTCCGGTAATCGTATATGGTAAATTAATTTGGAATTATCATAATTTTCATCATGAGTTGCTGTTAAAGAATTCGCTATTCTAGTGAGGAATAATATGTAATCAAGGTCGAATTAATTGTATTGGAATTTTCGTGATTTAATCATGAATTACTGTAAAAAATTTTTTACTGAACTTACTATTCTAGTAATATACGGTATATAGTTCACTTTTGCATGTTATCCATATCCCCAGTTAAGAATGGTATAGATATGTAAGTTCGTATAATGCGCAAATATAAATCAAAAATTCAAAACTCCCAGAGCAGAGCAAACTATAATATATCTATAAATTATCAACAGGAGGAAACGTTGATTTTGTCCAACTGATTTTACACACGGTGTGCAACACAAAAATTATTTTACAATACTTGATAATACTTGATCAGTCCGCTAGTACATGTTATGATTATAATCCAACACCATTTTATTATAATAAAAAATGGTGTCAAGTATTGTAAAATAATTTTTTTATGTGTTGCACACCGCGTGTAAAATCAGTTGTGCAACATCAACGAACTATTACCCCTATTTTCACATAGCAAAGTGGTGGTAGCTTATTCTCCGTCGATGTGCTCTCTGTTACCGGTGAATTCGTATTAAGTGGACACTTGAACCACATCACGTGAAATTATGCAATTACGTCAATTGTTTACTAGCACTAAACAAATTAGCTATCACCTAACCCTAA